CCAAACCGCGTCGAGTTCGTTATTGCGCCAGTCGTACTCGCTATTTGATTAGTCTGTGTGTTTTCGTTAATAACTCATTAACGAAGCTGTGGAGAACATTTTCACTAAGGAAAAACTTACTTTAAATCACCTCAGATATCAACCTTCTCCAGGTGTAACAGGAGTTTTGAGACACCCTATATATCGAAGTGAAAGCGAAAAACGTTTTGAAATTTGTGCAGAACTATATCATTATATAATCTTTGATTTTAACACACTTTAAAACACACTTTTTAACACACTCTTCCGTGTTGTATTTTTGCGGAAGAGAAACTTGCGTTACTTAATTTATATATATATAATATATATGATATTATCTATATATATATAATATATATAATATATATATATATATATATATATATCTGTCTCTTATACACATCTAGATGTGTATAAGAGACAGATATATATATATATATATCTGTCTCTTATACACATCTAGATGTGTATAAGAGACAGATATATATATATATATATCTGTCTCTTATACACATCTAGATGTGTATAAGAGACAGATATATATATATATATATCTGTCTCTTATACACATCTAGATGTGTATAAGAGACAGATATATATATATATATATCTGTCTCTTATACACATCTAGATGTGTATAAGAGACAGATATATATATATATATATCTGTCTCTTATACACATCTAGATGTGTATAAGAGACAGATATATATATATATATATCTGTCTCTTATACACATCTAGATGTGTATAAGAGACAGATATATATATATATATATCTGTCTCTTATACACATCTAGATGTGTATAAGAGACAGATATATATATATATATATCTGTCTCTTATACACATCTAGATGTGTATAAGAGACAGATATATATATATATATATCTGTCTCTTATACACATCTAGATGTGTATAAGAGACAGATATATATATATATATATATATATATATATATATATATATAAATATGATATATATTAGATATTATTATATATATATGATATATATATTATTAATATAACTTTTTCCTTAGCGCAAATGCAATCCGTGGCTTTGTTTGCAAGTTATTAACGAAAACAGTGACCAATGAGAGGCGAGATCAGCTGGTGCGAGGTGGCCTTTCATTGGTCAGTGTTTTCGTTTATAACTCGTAAACAAAATCACGGACTGCATACGGTCGGTGTAAAAGGTATTCGTACATCTTTTATTAAAACAAAATAACTTTTTTTATAATTGAACCAAGCGATTTAAATTTTTTGGGGTGTTAGAGGGATTAGTTTACTAGAAAATGCTCTAAAAATTGTTTTCAACAATTGCAATTCGTTAATATCATAATCAAATTAAAAAATAATGTTTTTTCAACTCTTTTATCTCAGCCTGAATTGAAATTTTATAAAATGGAGCTTGTAGATGTCGGTAACTTAAATAGTGAAATTTTCAGTTGAAAATTTCATTGAAACAATACATATAATCAATAATAAAAGAGAACGAGGTTCGTGTACTCGCGAACTATAACCATGATTGGCACATTGAAAGACTGGTAAATGCCTTTGTATTTTCAACATTTTTACATTTACATCGATCTATAGTAGCAACAAAAGAGAAAGACGAAAAGAAAGAAAGAAAGGAAGAAAGTGGTGAAATGAACTGTTGTTGCAAATCTTTTACAAAACGACGTCACTTGCGTGGTCTTCGTGCTCTTAATTGAAAACGTTCCAATTGTCCCCAACTGTTCTAGCATTGATTTATATGTCATTATTTAAATTAATTTCAGCCGTAATATCGGTTGCAGAACCAAAACAGTTTCTAAAAATTTGTGTCATGTTTGCTAGCAAGCAGTTTCTGGTCTGTTAACAATAGTTGCTAGTTCAGAAAATATCTTCTTTCGGTTACATGGTATTGCGACTTGTTTCCATTCGTTGAATAGTAGATTCCATGATTTGTCAATACCTCTATGCTCAGTAAATGAATTTAACATTAAACCTACCTAGAGGTCTGAAAGTGATTGTGACAAGTAGATTGCGAATTTTATACATTTATGGCAAAATTAGTTGGTTGTAATTTAAAATATTATAAGGATTAAAGGAATTTAAAAACGCCAATCTACTATTTTCGATCTATTAAAATGATAAAAGAAACAACGAACGTGTTATTTAGTCTCTATGTCTTGCAATTCATGCAGATAATTTCTATTTTGCATAAAAATTATGGTCTAGTGATGTGTTATTCTATATGAATGATAAAATTGGATTTCTTTTAACATTTGGATACTTTTGTTCCAATGTATGCTTGGATCAATAAATCTATTCAAACGTATCCTATAAAATGTGATCTTATAACGTCAACAATCTTAAATGAAAAAAATGTAAAATTGACCTGCATAGTAGATTCAGTGTTAATCAACTAAAAACATATTACCACGTTCTTTTTTATATCTGTATACTAAAATAAGAAGGAAATTTGTAAAACGTTTCTCGCTAAATAGATCGTCGCAAACTGATGTTCGCCGTTCATTGAAGCCAGAAGATCAGAAACATAAAGATAACTGTGTCTTGCTTAAATTTCAGTGTCTGAAATTGAGAAAGCGAAACCAGCATCTGTAGATTTTAAAACGAAACATACTAGATAATAATAAGTAATATCGAACACACATATGGTTCTCACGCGAAAAGAAGGCACCTTCGTCTTCACATTCCCCCTCTTACTAGCTGCGGCAGTGGAAGAGGGGGCAGCTAATAAGAGGGGGAATATAAACACAAAGGTGCCTTCTTGTCGCACGAGGATTATATGTATATGTAATAATCCCGTATTTGCTACGTGAACCATCCGGTTTAAAGCTTTAATAAGTAAAATTAAATTTATATAAATAAGTGACACATAATACACGCGCAACTGAAATTATATCTCATCATTTCTTAAGTTTATAACCGCTACTATGTCTACCTAAGCTTCTAAATATGGATTTCATTCGCTTCGTTAAAATCAAAACAAAATTTGAGCAAATGAAGATATAGAAAAAACAAAAATTGTCTCGTTCTATTAGAGAAATTATTAACATTGAACCTACCGAGCACTAATGCTATAAAATTTACGTTGCTTTATAAGAATTACAATACTGAATTTTGTTTAGACTTCTCCTCATTTTTATTCTAATGTATGCTTGAATAACGATATTTATTGTACCATTTCCTACGAAAAATATAACCTTACAATTTCAACAATTTTAAAGTGAAAAATGTGAATCGGTGATTTTGATCATCACGGTAGGTTTAATGTTAAGAAGAAATGTAACGTAATTGCGAAAGAAATAGTTTAAGGAGTTAATAAAGCTTATCATCGTAACTGCGAAAGAAATAGTTTAAGGAGTTAATAAAGCTTCCGTTGTTTGGTAGCGAAATTCCAACTAGAAATAAACTAAGTAAGTAAATAACAGCTGCACGATATGTATGTGTAAAATTGAAATTAAGTTTCGTCGTCTTGTGGCCACTATTGTACGTAGGTTTCTAAATATGGATGCTATTCGTTTCTCCTAAATCGGCACAAAATTTGATTTCTCCGTGATCAGTAGACTGCGGATCTTTTGTGGGCAATGAAATTTGTTAAGTCAACTGCGAGAAACAAAAATTAAATGAAAACGTTTCTTTTTCTATTAATAATTTCAACAAGTCAACAATAGTGCAACAAGTATTCTTAAATTCGTCCAATATCCTCTCATTTTTATATTTCACCTATTCAATTTTGTCAAAATGATTGATTGATCTAGGATTGATTTAGGAATGAAAGTAAACGACGACATCCAAGATACAAAAATAGCCTCGTCCTGTCAGAGAAATGATTAAGAACGATGAAGTGCTAATCAACGTAGAATTGTGAAAGAAACCGTAATTTAAGGAGGGGAGATTCGTGTGAAGCGTTCGAACGAGAGGTGATATTTGTCAATTTTTTTTATAACATAAGATCTCTATGATATTTATCGCCACTTTGCATATACATTCTTTAGCATTTCGAGATATAAAATGTTTCTTTTTCGTCATATTTTATCGACTTTTAAAGAAATAGTACATGTTATCTCTTATGGACCTCCCAGTCGATGGCGCGCAGTCTAGAATTTTTCCATCGATTTAGAACGAAAAATCGAATGACATTTTTTTCGCAATAGTATTATGCGTCGTTTGAACTAAACATCTCCTTAAAAAATGCAAAATTGTCAGAGATACGCGACTTTGAACACGAAACAAATCATCTTCGTCATAAATTTCTAGCTTAATTATGCAATAAACATAGTTCAAATAATTATTATTACGAAGGTGACCAATTCATACGACGAAGAACTTAGAGTTATACATGTACATGCATCGATCCAGCTCGATCGGTTAATTATTTGTTGAGAAATTCGAGGAGTGCCGTTTCGAGAAAAATGGTTTCGAAGTTTTGTGGTTTCTGTCACCGTCGACGCGACAACGAGAAAATGTATAGAGAACGTTTCGCACGACATTCTCGCAACGCAAAAGCATCGATTCATGCGAGAAGAATAGAATCGATCTTTTTGACCCGTCGCACGAGTCTCCCCCCTTGACGGGTTAATAAAGCTTCCGTCCGTCTGTCAGCGAGGTCCAAATAAATAAGTAACAGTTATAAGACGCGAAATGAAAATTTATCGTCAGAAATTTACGAGCGCTACTGTAAATGTCATCGTGCACTACCGCAACGCTGAAATAATGATTGCCACGAAAACCGGATTCCTGGCCGATCGCGCGACGGGACGAGACGGGACGCGACGGCAGGCCTCAGCGAGGGGATCCTCGGTCTTATTAGTCGACAGTGTCCGCGGCGTCGCGTGTTTGTCATGCGAACGCGACCGTAGCACAGCAGCCACTTGCCAAACGGTCCATTACGCGGTCGGTCCCGAGGCTCTGCTCGTTTATTTAAAACGCGCCGCGCTATTCCGCGGCCATAAAGCGGCCAGCTCGGACTTACTAGACTCTTTGGCGCCCCTGCGGAAGGCATCGTACAGGGTCCTCGTGTCCTCGTGGATGTAGCTGACGAACTTCCCCTCCTTGCTGTCCTTGTAGAACCTCGACACTCTGATCAGGTCGGTGCCCTGCAAAACGTTTATCACACGTGAGATCCACCCGGTTCTCCTTCTCCGGTTATGTAACGGAATGCCAAGTGCACAGGGTCTAAGTATAGCGAGCGCGTGGAGCGGGATGGACGCGTAGGGGATCGGAGCTGTCCCGAGGGACCCGTCCTCGGGGTTGAAAAGGGAACCGATCGCTTCCTGGTCTCCCAGCTGCTCCCATCAACGACGACGTTTCAATCTCCTCGCCGATGCCAAGTCGCTTGTGCAACTAGTCTAGCCACCCACACACCTCCCAGCGAACCCACCGAGCGGTTCGAGGATTTCGACGAAGAATGCTCCGACGTCGGAGCGCACCCTTAATGCTCGCGATCACCGGGACCACCCTCGGCACCGCCGACGGATGATTATAACGTCGTCGATGACGATGCGAACGATTGGCCCGCTTCGAGGAACCGAAGGTCCCTCGGTCGAACGGTCAACGGCGGACACCATGGACACTCCACCTTGACTGTATCAGACTGCTCGCTGAGGTCGATCGGTGGTCGAATGGGTTCCGGGGCGAAGCAACTCGACGACATAGTATCGGGCCGACCGGTCCACGGACCGACTGATCCGATCACCTGAACGATTCCGAGCACGGGGACACGCGATCACTTCGAACGAGACGGGCCCGCACGCCCGCGAGGCTCACTTCTATTCACGAGACTTTGCCTTCGGATTACTTTGCCTGTCAGAAGTGCTACTAATGGTACCGCTACCGCTTGCTACCGCTGCTCTGCCGCTGCTGCTGCTGCTCCACCGAGAGGAGCGGCTGCTATCAGTAGCTCGCGCATAAGACTAGCCGCTCTCGTCCATCCTCTACGACGATCTTCGACTATATTTAAATATAGTGGACCGAGCTGGTGGTGCGAGCGTCGTCCTCGGCAGCTACCGAACTCGTTGGACGATCGCCAGCCGCGAAAAAAATCGATCGACGTCGGACTTTGACATCGGACGGGTCACACGATCGAGATCGTCGCGTCTGCTACTCGATGAATGGAAACAGTCGTTCCGCCACCGATTACCACAGAAAGCGTTACCTTCGAGCGTTCTTTCCTGTTGCTTCGGACACCTCGGAGCTTATCGATTGTGCGAAAGCAGCTTGAGATCTTGGGAAGCTTGGGATCTTCAGCGTAGATCTTTGTACGAGCCAAGGGCGATTTTTAATAGTTTTAGGGACTGTTAGAGTGTTGTTGTTTTGGGAATAAATTGAAGGGGTTGCTATTGCAAGATGAAAGACATGGCAAGGGTATGGTCGATTCAATGAGAGACAGTGAATGGAAACTAGTGTAGGTAGGCAAAATGATGGATCTGTTGACACTAAACCTACCATCGCGAGTCAAACGACCGGTTTTGATTTTGGAATGATTGGTGTCATAAAGTCGCTTCCATTAAAAATTATTGTATATGTTTCTTTATTCAGGCGGACACTGTTATAAAAATTCTGAAAAATTTGGATAAATTCTGTCTTGTGATTCTTGCGAGGCAACTTTTTGTTAGTCGCTTTTATAACTCGATAGATTTAGTGTTAAAACAAGAGTTAGGCAAAATTTTATTGGCGGATGAGAGATAAAGAAAAGCAATTGATCTACATAACAATTTATACGACCAAAAATTTATCTACGTAACAATTTATCGGAATAAAAATTTATCTACGTAATAAGATATCCGAATAAAAAATCGATACAACAATTTGTTTAGATAACAATTTATCCGAATAAAAATTTATCCATGTAACAATTTACTCGAATACAAATTTATCGCGATAACAATTTATCCGAATAAAAGTTGGTCGATGTAACAATTTACTCGAATAAGAATTCATTTAGGTAACAATTTATCCGAATAAAAATTTAATCGAATTTATTTGCCCTGGATTTATTCGTAAAATATTCGATTCGTATCGAAATGGTGGAATACAAATTATTTTTCTCGAGGTTTACCGATTCGCGTTTCTTCCACGTTTACTTTTACAATTTATTTTGTTTTCGAATGTTGCGTCAGCAAGTTTATTGTTTTTGGGTAGATTGATCATTGTTGCATAACTAATCTTTCTACGGCCGCAGAGGGAGCCATCGTATATTCGATGATTCATGTTTACAGCACGTGCGTTTGTTTGGTTGCTGTCATCGCATCGTAAACAAAAACAAGAAGCAAACGCACACACAGTATATC